TGAAGCTGGAGCTATCTCAGCAGGAACACCCGTTCGACTCGGGTTCGAGCCATGATCTGACATTGATCCCTTTGCCACGCATTCATATTCCGCGCTACCCATCCCCCCTCTCACCACAGTACACGAGACTCTGCCCGTACATCAGGTTCTAAAGAGCCTGGTATATGCTAGGTAGGGGGGCGGTCCATACCTGCATCGAATATGAAGATGACGACTATGATCAATCTCCCGCACAACCGAAATTCACCCATCCTTGCGTCGGCTTCAACGTAGACCTCGGACAATCCTTGCGAAATTATTCCTGGCCTCGCATCGGCGTTGTCTCGACCTCGTCCCAGCGTGCGCTGGCTCGATTCAAACTTGCTCGTACATTCGAGCTTCGCTCCATTCTTGTATGGGCTCGGTGGCCGGTCCACGCCTGCGGCTGATGTATCGTCAACAATCGGGACTTCAGCAGGACACGCCCGTTCGACTCGGGCCCGAGCCATGGGCTTCAACATGCTGTTCTTTTTCTTTCTGGCGTGAGTTCATCTCGCAAAATCATCACAACACACCCCAGTTAACGTTCAACTTCCCGCGCCCAGGGCATTCGTTTTCTGCCGATTGTCGGTAACTTTCATGATATACTCAACCGAGCCTTTCTTTTTGGTTCCACTTATTACAATCAACGCAACCACCCAAGTTCAATTTTTTTGTACATCCAGGCGAGTCTTTGTACGGTTAAACAGGATCGGCAAGTGCTGATTGGACGGTTGAAAAGACGTGCATATACTCAACATCGAAACCACGCTGGTATCGGCTCGGTGGTGAGTGGTCCACACCTGCAGCAAGTACGTCCACTACCGTGCTTTTCAGCAGGACCCGCCCGTTCGACTCGGGCCCGAGCCCTAGAGCTGCTTCCACCTTTTTTTTTGGCTTCCATATCAGTAAGTACTTTTGGAAACCTGTTCATGGACTCTGGCCATGGATGGCTGGGGATTTCAGATTCATCGGCAGGCAAACAGGTTTCGGAATTTCTTCACGGGTTGTGAGCGGCAAATTGCGCGCGCATTGCAATGCGCCCTGGAATGGCTCGGTGGATGGTCCATACCTGCAATACATCCATCCATTCGCGATCGAGGTTAGGAATCTTGCGCAAGGGACGCCTGTTCGACTCGGGCCCGAGCCCTGGAATTTTACCCACTAGATCTTTTTTCGCAAACTACATGCATCAATGTGTCTGACACTCCTCATAGCAGTGCGCTCATGCACATAGTCAACTTCCAAAATCCAACTTCTAAACTCATCCCTCCATTCTCTTCTCTAGATTCCAGAATCTGGCCTCCACATTGGATTTCGGACGATCTGTGTAAAATAACTCAGGTTGCTCAGACCCGTCGCCCCCGCATGTGGACGCCAACTACATAGCCCGTTCAATTCAAACTTGCCCGTTTATTCGGGCTCCAACGCAGTCTTGTATCGGCTCGGTGGAGGGTCCACACTTGCATCACCTCAGGGTCGAAGCGGGATATACATTCTCAGCAGGTAATGCCCGTTCAACTCGGGCCCGAGCCATAGGGCCCTCGAGCCACTGCAATATCGTTTTTGCGGGTTTAGAGTATTACGAAAAGCTACCTGCACGTATGCAGACGCTGGCCCGCTTTTATTCTCGGAAAGTTCCGAGCCGACGCGGACCTTCTCTGATTAGTCGCCTTGCACAGATTCACCCGTTGACAAAAACCCTCGATACGATAGTACATGAACGAGTTGATTATTTTTTTCGACATAAACAGGGCCAGTGCGAAGAAGTACTAGTACCGTTCTCATATTCCATCGATGTACGCCGCGCCGAGCCTATGTCCCAACTTCCCACCCAACCCAAATCTAATCCAGCTCGGAGATCCAAACTCCGGCTCCAAATCCAACCAAGTCGAATCCAATCAAACGCACCGCGACCGCACACAACAGGAGAAGCCAAGTAGAGTACGGGCGGCCACGATGATAATCCGAGGAGAAGGAGGAGGTAGAATATGAACCAGGGTCTGTGCAGATGCAAAACGCCGCTCCTGCGCGCCATCCCAAACGAGCAGAGGGGGTCCGCCTAATCCCAAGAAGAGGCGTCCCGTGAGCAGCCAGCTCCAAAGCGCCGCGGATCCAAATTCAAGTACGCCAAGGTACAGCGAAAGAGAAGGAGGACCGACGGGCCTGAAGATAAGAGAAGAGAAGCTGAGGCAGGGAGGAAGAATAGAGGTGGATAGACAAGACGCGCGGAGCAACAAGTAGAACTTGCGAAGCCGAAGTGGGGAGGTGGCGCTCCATGCGGGGCGGCTCAGCCTGGCTCGGCACGTATCATTTAGATCCGGGTACATGGCCGGCGAAAATAAAAAAAGTATAGCAAGGAAAGGAAGGACTTCACGTCGACAGAGAGGAACGGCATCGAGGACGAGAGACGAAAGGCGTGATTTGAAGGACGGAAAGAAAGCGAAAGCGCTTCGAGTGAGCGAAGCAGCTTCGAACGCCAAAGGAAAGGCGGAATATATATTGATAGCTAAAACAAGGAAAGGAAAACGCACCAACGCCTGCTGCACCCAATAAACAATCTGGCTCAGATAGTACCGCTTCATCCCGCCCGAAAGATGCGTGGCGGGGTGCGATAGCATGAAAAAACAGCAGCGCCGTGGGCAGCGCCATCAGAGGCGGCACCGCAAGCGCACGGAGGGCGGAGAGGGGGTCGACGGCCCAGCGCAGCCCGGGGGAGACGTCCGCCGCTGCCGGGGCGCCCCGTGCCAAGGACGGTTTCGGGGAATGCGGGCCGGGGCCATCGGTGTGTCGATTAGGGGCGGTTGCGGGCGGGGGCGGGGCGGGGGAGGGCGGGGCGCTGGGGGTGAAGGGGCCGGTTAGGTGGTGCGAGGGGTCGCTGCAGCCGTGTATTCGTTAGCATAGGTATTATATAAGCTAAGCAGGGGAAGGTGGAAAGGGTATAGAGAAAAGACATACTCGATAGGGCCCTTTGGCTTTTGGCGTGCGGTGGATATCATCAGATGAGCACGTGCCAGGGCAGTGTTTGATTGGGCCGCTTGCTGTGATCCGCTTGGCAGTCGCCGTCATCGCGCGGTGTGCCGCTTGCTGCGGTTCCTCCATTTGCCTGAGTCTCACTTTAATGATCCCACTTGCGTCTCACCGTCGGATGGACGTTTATTCCGTCGTCTTTCTTTCTGCTGGCTGGCTACTTTTCGTAGCGCCGTCGGATGGCCTCTTCTGCTCTTCCACCGCAGCACTCATGCTCCGGGAAAGTAATGGCTGCTTACTCTGGCCGAGCCGTGTCGTGGCACCTTCCTGCGGGACTCAAACTCGCCGAGCCCTTGGCTATCGTCTCAGGCTGTCGTTCTCGGCAGCGAGGCCTCGGGTTTTTGGTTTGCATCGCCGGTGCTCACGATTGAAGAGATAAAACTTGCTCGCGCATCGGAGGTTCGATGCATTCTTGCATCGGCTCGGTGGAGGGTTCACGTCTGCAGCAGATGGTTGGCAATACGAACAATTCCAGTAGGAGGCGCCCGTTCGACTCGGGCCCGAGCCACAGGATACCGGCCCTGCTTTTTTCTGTAGGCCCGTGGTTCGTTGTGTTCCTGCGTCCCACCCATACTTGGCTTGTTTACAGCCTCCCTCCCTCATGTCATCTCTCCCGATTTTGGGCCAGGACGAACGATCCTTGTGCGTGCCGCGCTCTCAGGTTGCTCAGGCTCGTACTTATCGCTGGCGACGCTACCAATTAAATCCAAACTGGCAGATTCAGGTTCCAATGCAATTCTGTATCGGCTCGTTGGACAGTCCACACCTGCAACAAATACCTATCCGTCGAGGGGAAATTTCAGCAGGACCCGCCCGTTCGACTCGGGCCCGAGCCATTTGCTTGAGAAATCCGATCCCTTTTTAGACACGAGACAGTCGTACATGTCTCTCTCGTGCGTCTATCCTGTCCAAACAATACCACATTCTTGCCCCATTCCACATTCTGGTGCATCTCGCCGCCACTGCGACTCAAATCGGTGGGCTACTTGCACCGGTAGTCTACAACGTTAAGGTGGAACCGTTAACGCAACGGAACGTCGATGGCAGATGCAACGATCATATCCCCAGGAAACACATGACATCCAAACTCAAAGGGACGCTGGTATCGGCTCGGTGGACGGTCCACCTCTGCGTGATTTGATAGGTTCGATTTACAACCACGTTCGGCAGAAGCCGCCCGTTCGACTCGGGCCCGAGCCATAACTAAGGCAGATCCGTCTCTTTTTGAGCGTGCTGCAGTCTATTAATCCACTGACCGCCCCAACCACGCAGTTGCGATGCTCAATTTCGAACCCCGGCCGCTGGGCGTGAAACCTGAAATCTTTCAGTGCTGTCACTCAAACTCGTCGAACTGTTGGCCGAGTATTGATCTCGTTCTTGGCGCAGCATGGTCTGCTTAAATCCTCTCCACTGAACCCATTCAAGCTCGCTGGTGCATTCGGGCTTCCTTCAATTCTCCTATCGGCTTGGTAGCGGATGGGCCAGGTCTGCCATGTGTCTGCATCATACGGGGCCTCACGTTTGAAAAAGTAACGCTTTGCTTGCCGTCTCCGTGCACTCCTTTACGTGGATCGAACATCGCTGAGTTCTCTCGTGTTTTCCCCTGCAATGAATGTTTGAAAGCATGCTCGTGTGTTCAAGTCCAATACAGGGTTCGTATCGGCTCGGTGGAGGGTCCACGCCTGCGTTGAATATGATCTTCAGAATAAGCGTCAGCAGGAATCGCCCGTTTGACTCGGGCTCGAGCCATGAGACCGAACCTTTCCCTTTTTGTGAGTCCAATTCTTGAAACTATCCCACTCACCAGCGTTCAAGCTTCCTACGGCCTTTGGATGTATGTTCAATCCAGGTGCGTATCTTCGCTCAAACGGCATCTAGTCTGATTTGCAATGTTGAACGATCATTCGTTAGAAATGTGCGCGTACACTCAACATCGAAATAGACCTGGTATCGGCTCGGTGGTGGATGGTCCACACCTGCGGCAACTGGCTTTTGGAGGCGATCCCAATTCAGCAGGCAACGCCCGTTCGACTCGGGCCCGAGCCATATCGCACCCTGTTGAGTTTCTTTTTTATTCTTTGCCGCGCCATCCCTCGAAATTGGAACCCACCCAAGCTCACATTTCGTCCAGGCCAAGATAAGCCTGACAGGTGCGGTGCGTCTTTGCGCTCAAACGGCATCGGTGAGTTCTCATTTGCATTCAAATTGTTGAGTGGTTAAAATGTGCGCACACACTCAACATCGAAATAGAGCTGGTATCCGCTCGGTGGTGGGTGGTGCACATCCGCGGCAATTAACATTGTTCTATTGACATTTCAGCATGAGGCGCCCGTTCGACTGGGGCCCGAGCCATGATCCGATGGCAGATCCTTTTGCAGCGCCTTCCTACGTCGCGCTGCCCATTCCACTCTCACATCTGTACGCGAAATTCTCCCCGCCACACATCTAGTTCCAAAGCAGTCTAGGATGGCTTAGTAGCATGTGGTCCGCACCTGTGGCAAATGCTCCTGAGTCTCAGTTTCTCAGCAGACAACGCCCGTTTACCTCGGGCCCAATCCATAGTCTGGTCTACATGTATTTTTTACTTGGGCCGTTGGGTTGTTGGGCGAACATCCCTGCCCTCTCAGATGTCATTTACAGCTTCACCACCTCCGATTTCCGAGCTTCTCGCCTCCAGATTTGCATTGCGACTATCCTTGGAAATTACTCCGTACTCAAGCTTCGCATCGGCGTGGAAACCATACAATCGAACCAGCATATGGATATTCAAGGTCCAGTGCATTATTCCATCGGCTTAGTGGAAGGACCACGCCTGCGGCAATTAAAAGGGGTTGCATGTAAGCAGGAACTGCCCGTTCGACTTGGGCCCGAGCCATCTGCCCTTCCCGTAAGATATACCCCATCCACCCTCGACGAACATCACGTGGTCGGTTCCCATTTCGGGCGAAACCATCGAAAACAATTAATATTGAGGTAACGAGGGACCCAGGTCGAAATCCCCTCGACCACATTTTGCTAATACATGTTAAGTACCTTTGACAAAATAATGAGAGATGAGGATGAAGATATGAAGCCTGTAATTCGCGGATAGTGCCCCTACCTCCGCGACGAGTGATCCGGGACAAACAAGAGCCAAATATTGGCATATTGGTCGCAGATCGGGAATTACAGGACTCTACTACCGGTATTGCGCCGGTTTCTTTGATCCATAAGCAATAATAGATGCATATCTAAAATGTGGTCGAAGGGATTGACCCAAAGTGGCCCGCCAATTATCCTACAGATTTTTCTTTCCAAGATGTCCCAAAATGGGAGCCAACCACGTGACGTTCGTCGAGGGAGGAGGAGGAGGATATATTATACTGACGCGGTCCCACAATTGGAACAATCAGTTTACTACGAAGATTTGAGTAACTGCTTGTAGGCTAAAAAAGTCACTGATCTTTACGTAGAACACACGCACTACTGAAGGGGGGCGGAAAGACTAGGTATCCAGGAGATCTTCCCGACCTGTTGTGGCCACAACAGGTAGGTCGTACGGTTAAAACCTCGTGGGTAACCAATGGCGATTCCTCGCCATCAATTTTAACTCGCCGTCGACCAGAAGAAACCCCGAATGCGTCGACTCAACAGTCCCTACAGGCACGCATGCAAAGTAACTACTAAAAAAATATACTAAAAAGGATTGGGTAAAGAAAACGACATGTCAAACTGGCTAGCCCAACCTAGTCGACTGTTCTGGGTAATCATATCTTATCTCGTGCATCAATGGATCAGGATCCATTGATCTACACCGGGCCGGCTACGGGTAGGGCAAGGGTTTGCGCAGTCAGCGTGCGGAGCTGGGAGACAGAAATCCCCGCCAACCCCCCCTCCCGTCTCTCCAGTCTGTGCTCTAGCTGCCAGAATGTGAGGGATCACAAGTCCACACCTATGTATTCAAGGCGCTATGACTGTTCTATCGTTCCATTCCGACCGTCGCTGTCAGTGTCCCTGCAGTGATCACTGAACAGCGACGACGAAGCCCTTGAGGTCCCGAATTGACGTTGGTGGACTCTGCTGTCATTGCAGACAGGCCCCGTCTATCGTAGATCCACCAGGGAGGACGTCCTAAGCCAAGACTTCCACTTTTCATTTTCGATGATGGTGGTAGAGGCCAAGGTCGGTGGTCGTGGATGGGTTGTATCAGGACCGATGATTAACCCAACAGAGGTCGGATCCGCAAAATCAGCCTCAAAATGTGTTTTGTCGGGACTTTTCAAATGTTCCCACGCTTTCTGAGGGTGCAGAAATGAATGTTTCAGCAAAACGAACATTTTTGGTTTTTTTTTGGTCAAAATTTAGCCAAAATTTTGTCGGGACTGCGGATCCGACCTATATTGGGATAATCACCGGTCCTGTTGTATCTTACCTTTTTTTTTTTTTTTTTTTTGCTTGTTGACTATCTGTCCATGATCTTTGCAATGGAGCTTCAATCCATTCTTGTATCGGCTCGGTGGAGGGTCCGCGCCTGTGCTAAATTAGGATCCCCGGAATTCGCTTCAGCAAAAAAAACCGCCCGTTCAACTCGGGCCCGAGCCATAGGCGCTGGGATAAACTATCTTTTACTTCAAAAGCATTGCTTCATCGACCGTTTCCCCGAAGCGCTAAAGTTTCTCTCATCGCAGGGGTGAGTGATTCTCTGCTCATCAGGGAATAGTTGGGATTAACGCATCGGAACGACATCACAAACGCACGCAGACAGCAAGTTCAAACTCACGCTGGTACCGGCTCGGTGGAGGGTCCACACCTGCATTGAGTGGGACGGACGGTGAGGCGAGATCTTGAGCAGGAATGCCCGTTTGATTCGGGCCCGTGCCGTACGCTCGAAGGAAACCATGCTTTTTAAACGCCAAATGGTCGTCGATGTCTCTGTGGTGAGTCCTTGTACCCTGTGGGGAAAAAAGTCATTCAAACCACGTTCCAGATGGCATTGATTTTGCGACTGGTCACAGCTACATCGGTGAGCTAATGGTTTTCAGCGCAAACTCAACCCTCGCCGAACTCTCGGCCAGTCTCATCAGCGGAATTTCGTCGTTGCGGCTCAAGCAAGTCGTGATCAAACTCGCTCGTTTGTTCAAGATCAAGTGTAGGATTTGTGTCGACTCCGCGGTGGAAGGTACACGCCTGCAGCGATTTCCAAATCTAAGTAGATGCGTCTCCATAACCACGTCCACTCTCTGGATTGCACGGTTCTGACGCCCTCCGTATGCGCTCCCGATGCGAACTTGCGACGTTGTGATTACCCATGACTCGGAGAGTCCCGCCGATGTTTGAGAATCCTGGTCTAAAGTGCCGCGGAGAAAACTTGTCGGTGAGCTCTGGTTTGCATTGGCGAATCGTTAGAAGTGTGTGCATACACTCAACGTCGAACCTACACTGGTATCGGCTCGGTAGTGGGCGGCCCACACCTGCAGCAAATATGCCGAGGGCCTTTCAGCAGGACCCGCCCGTTCGACTCGGGCCCGAGTCATAAGGACGCTTCCTGGAATTTCTTGGCTTCTACCCCTGCCATGCAGTGGGGACGAACGCTGTCTCGGAGTCTTTTTTACTTTTTGGTGCGCCATCCCTCGAAAGTAACACGCAAGCCAAAACTCAACTTCTGCAGGCCATGGCATGCCATTCTCAGCAAATTCTCAGGCGTCTCTTTGCACTCAAAGTCAACGACATCGGTGAGCTCCCAATCCTGATTTGCAGAGCTGAATGCTTAAAAGTGTACGCGTACCCAATACCAAACCCACACTGAGGCTCGGTGGACGGTCCATCTCCGCATTGAGTGGGTCGTCGATGACAAATTCTGCGCGGGTAACGTCCGTTCCGTTCGGGCTCGAGCCATAACGCGAGCAAGTGTCTTTTTGTGACTCGTTATGTCTGTATCGCGGACACAAAGTCAATCTCTACAGGCCATCCCGAGCTATTCACTGCACGTGTTGGAACATATCCTTTTTGTGAGTCGTTCTCTCATTGCCAGCGACACAAACTCAACTTCTGCAGCCCATCGTAATTCATGGCGAGTTTTGTACACTGAAACGGCATCGGTAAGTCCTGATTTGCACCCTGGAGGGTTAAAGATGTGCAAACTCAATGTCGGCAGGCCATGCGAACCCAGGCGAGTCTTTTACACTGAAACGCATCGGCTAGTCCCAACTGTAGTGTTGAATGGTTGAAAATGCATGCATACACTCAACATCGCAATAGAGATTGTGTCGGCTCGGTGGACGGTCCACGCCTACGCTGAATTATGGATACGATTCCCCCAATAAGCTTCTGCGGGAACGCCCGTTCGACTCGGGTCCGAGCCATGATTGCCCCAGGGCGTTGCCTTTTTGTGAGTTCTAATCCCGACGTACTCATGAAGAGCGAGCTGAGGTAATAGCGAGGCGGCGACTCCCGGCTCCGAGCCGAGAGCCCCAAGAAGATGTGTATAGAGAAACGGAGGGCGGGTGGGCGAAGATAATAACCAGAGAGCGGAGAGCAGCAAGGGCGACGAGGGCTGAGTGCTCAAGAAAGCCCAGCCTTGCTTATAAGCCCCTGCGAACCGATCAAGGAGGTAGGGGTTGCGTCTCGTACAGCCCGGCTGAAGAGGAGAGCGGGCGCCGGCCAGGAGTGACACAGGGCGCGCTCGGATCCCGTGTTTTGCGAACAACGCCCCGGGCGCCGACGTCAGGAGGAGCAGGAAGGAAAGGGGGGAGAGGATGCTATTCACAGCGAGCGGTATTAGACTACAGTAAAATAAATTCTAAACTCGACAACTCAGGCTGTCAGCCCTATCGTGCAACTCATTTGCTTTGGGCCATGATTGCTGCGCATGACTTGTGAGGTAACGGGTCGCCCTACAGTCGTCATATCTTGCCCCGACTCAAAGGACTCAAAGCCGCTCGTGCATTTGAGCTGCAATCGGTTCTGTCATCGGCTCGGTGGACGGTCCATCCTTGCATTGGTTGGATGGTAATCCCGTAACGCTTCAGCAGGAACTGCCCGTTCGACTCGGGTCCGAGCCATACCTC